GTGTTTTCCCAGACTGTTTTTCTCAGGTGATAAGTTGGTTTTACCCTCATTTTTTCTGCTTATTTACAATATTTCAGGATGTCTTCAGTGCTTAGGCACTCTGGCTGCACTTTTCACAGAGTCTTCTTGTTTACAAGCCCCATCCTTAGAGGGGATCCTGTTCTTCAGTAGTGCCAGGCTGGCTATCCTTTCTCTGTCAGTACTTTTCAGCAGATGATTTCTTCTCTTCAGTAATTTTCCTCTTCTAACCAGACCACCTTTACGACTGATCACATTATGGGGCTGGCCTGGGAGAAGACTGAAATGCTTACCAGGCTGTGAGGTACCTACCAAGCAAGCTGAATGTGGGATAAGGAATACCCTGAGCCATTTCACAGCTGCAGCACTGCTGGTGAAGCCTGGTGGCCAATATTGCTCTCCCTGATACCCAGCTCCTCTGTAGTGGGTTTCTCTTCTCTTCCAAGCCCTCATGCTTCAAAAAGGCCCTGCCCTCCCTTCAAGTCTGGATAAAATTGGTCATGAGTGCTAAAATTACTATGAGAACAAAAGAGAAACTGACCAATGGGATAGATGTAAGCTTTGTTTCCCTAGGAAAGTGAACCTAGGAACAGAGCAGGAGCTATGAGTGACATGCTTAATGGTGGAAAACAGTCTTTAATTTTAAAATTACAATGATGTCAAAAAATACAGCACTCTGTAATTGAGGCTTCCCTAAATTTCAACAAGCCACACCAGCATTTTGTTCTGTGCTTTTATCTCATGACTGTAATTGCTCCTGGTGGAATGTAGTGAGTTCTGTGTGCTGTGAGAAGCCAAAAGAGAGAACTTGGGGCTTTGGGCAAAGAGTTCCACCCTCCATTCCTGGGCCCATTGCAGGCTGTTACTTGCCCTCTCTGTGTCCTCTCTGTGTTTCTCTGAGTGCAAAATTGTCACCAGACCTGATGCTCAGTGCCAATAAACCACATTTCTCTGTAAGAGATTTGTGTAGGGACCAGGACAGGCTCTATGTACACTGCATGAATGGGGAGGATGGGAGTGTGTTGTTTTCTCAGCTCACCAGCAAATGCAGCCAGGCTTTGTGTGAGAAGATCATAACTGACTTTTGGATACAGATTAGGAGGAAAATAGCTCCTTTTAAAAAAGGGGACATCAGGAATGAAGAGTTGGGGGGAGACATCCTAGGCAAAATGCACCCAAGTGACCCTTAGGCAATCAAGTTAAACACATCCCTGATCTGAGGAGCTGAAGATTAGCCTACAGAGATGGTCAACTTATGTTTAGTCAATAAATAATGGCGATGATAAATAATTTTTTGTTATTAATTCAATAAAAAACGTTTTTGTCTGCAGACTTGTATCCTGGCACATCTGAAGCAACCGTGGTGTTTACCTCAAGCAGCCAGAGGAAGTGAGCTGGGTTTTCTTGTCCTTGTCTTTACCCCAAACCATTTCACACCTTCTCAAACACGTCTGCCCGGAGCTGCTGAGGGTGAGCAAGAGGCCATCACTCACACAGGGCAGACTGCAGGAGCACACATGGCCCAGGTTTGGGTAATACCCATGGTGAATGCAGACATCTGAAAATTGCCTGTGGGCTAGGCAGCCCAAATTATGGGGACAAACCCACACTTTGCATGAGCAGGATGAACTGGACAAGGAAGTCCTTGAGTCTGAGCACCCAAAGCACTCAGGCTGTTCTTCTCAAGGTCACCCCAGTGCTGCAGTAGCACAGGGGGTCTTGATGTCAGAGTCTGCAGAATGTGCAGCATTTTATTTGAGATTTCTCCCCCTGGCTGGCTCTGTTTAGTGTGACAGAGGCAAATTTGCCTGTGTTCAGACAAATTTTGAGGATTGTATGTGCTCAGGAACAGCTGGAAAACCAGTGATTTACAGTAACTGGGCATGGTAGCTCACAAAGGAAAACATATCCCTCCTCTGAGTATGTGCTATGGATTTCTGCAAATTAAAAAAAAAACACCCGTCTTGAAGATCATCCAGTGTCCTACAACCAGCACTGAAGAAAACTGGATCCAACAGAGCCCTTCTCCACACTGGTACCCACACTGGTTTTAAGGTACTGTTTTATGTTGTGGACTGTTCAGGCTTGGCCTGTGAGATGTGCAGCCCTTATCAAAATTTTGTGGTCCTCTTGGTAGGGCTTTCAAAAGGATGATACACAGAAAACCTTACAAACATTTAGAGAATGACTTGGAGTGTTTTTGATGGGGTTTCCAGTTCCTAAAAATGTTTTGTACGGGTTTGCTATAAATGACTTGGGGGGATTTACTCTGACAACTTCCAGTGAGATTTATTCTTTGCAAAGGGCAGACCAAAACATTTCCTGCAAAGGCATTATTTTTGAAGATAAACTGGAACTTTATTTAAATAAAATTTCCAAAAAATACATATTTTCTTTGAACATTGCTGTTTTCCTTGAAACAGTGATGCTAGAAAGCCCCCAAATTTTCAGCAGTTTTTGATGAGGAAGACTCGTTACCAGCTGCTAAAAAAACAAATAGCTTTTTAACATTTTGAACGGAGTTTTCATCAAAAGGCAATGTTTCCTATAGAAAATTCTAATTAAAGTGATGTTCATTTTTTGTCAGACCTGTCTGCAGAAACTCTCTCTTTCCTGTATGTCACAATCTCTATATTCCCCAGCTGGGAGAGTGTGTTAGAAAACCCCAGCCAGCACTTTGCAGAGACCCAGCCTCTGCACAGGATTAATCAAGGTGGAGCCCGGCACAGACCTGACAGTTTGTGGTTTTTGTGTGAGTTAGTGGCCTCACAAAGCGACACCTGCAACTTCAACAATCTACCTCATCTCCTTCAAGGCTTTTCTGCTAAATGGAGTTATTTTCAGGGTTATCCCATCCGTTTGGTCACCTCCAAGCCAAGGACTTCAGCCCTGGTACATTCAATAGTCAGGCATCTCTACTTGTGCCATCTTTGCTTCAATCAGTTAATAAAATTAGTAATAATCAGTTAATGTGTATAAAACAACCACAGAAATGAACCTCTGCAAATATACAGGGCATCATTTCCTTTAATTTCTTTATTATAGCTTATTGCAATTTGCATGCATTTTGTCTCCATAAATTAATCTGATATTACTGTCACATGTTGCTCATATTTAGCAACAATGCATCCATTTCCAGCTAGCTGTGTCCAGCTCAGCAGACTTCCAAATTTCTGCCATAAATTAACTGGATGGTAGAATGTATATTGCATCTTACAAGGTGGAGAAAATTCCCCAGGCATTTGTTGGCATGAGTCATGCTTCTCATGGAAAAGTGCAGTATATAGAAAATAATGAAGAAATGAGGATTCAATTAATATTGAATTTTTTGAAAATGCCACTGCTAATGATAATACAAACAGTATCATTAAGGTTGGTAGGATCAAAAGGAGACCTGGAAACACTCCCAACCCCAGGACTGCTACGGAGTTAATAGTCTATAATAGAATCTATTCATGCTCCTAGATTAGTCTGTCAAAGACAATTAATCAAAATACAATAAGCTTTTCTTCCCAAAATAGAAATGTATACACAGTTAATGAGACAGTTGCATCACTGAAATTTCACAGAAGTTTTCGTCTTCTATTTTGCTGAAGTTACAGGTTGAGGCCTGGGACATAAGGCCTGGACAAGCAAATTTATGAAGTGTGAAAGGCCACTTGAAGGAAAAAGCCATAAATCCACTTTTATATGAACCTGAAACCATATACAACCATTCAGTAAAAATACTGATACTTACAGAGGCTGCATTTACTTATACACTTTTTATCCTTTGGAATGTGTTTGACAAAAGCAATAAACATGCAGGGGTGTATTGTACTGCCATCATTCAAACATGTGTAATCTCATTGACTTTATTGGAACTGTATCAATATCATTGAGGGCAGAGTTTTCACCTTTCAGGAATCTCATTTTGAGGATAATTGGAAGTATCTCTGAATAGAAGGAAAGGGTTTTTTCACTAGAATCTATTTTTGATACAAAAGTACTACTTTATAGTCTGTAGCTGGTTTTGCTATTGCTCCCTTTCTTATGCAAAGCAAATTTATAGGCACTTTTTATGAAAAGGAACCACAATGGAGTCAATTTTATAGCAAGAAATAATAGAGATAAATATTTCTTTCAGTGCTGACTCAGAGACAGTATCACCCCATTGGTAGTTAACTTACACAGGTTTGATAAAGAGAGTTTTACCTCACCCTCTCTTAAAAGATCAGGTGAATATGAATCACTTATTTGATCACCTTTATTCCTAATCATGCTTGATTCATTTAACTGGAAGAGACCCCAAAGGCAGGAGTCAGGCTGTGGGGTGGTGCAGCATGGCTGTGCCTCCCTTCCTGGCACCAAGTTTGCAGTTCCATCCTCCTCGGGGTCCCTGTGGTGGCAGTGCCAGATGTGTGGCTTGCAGCTGGAAGCAAGTGCTGCTTCATGTCCCACAGGCAGCTCCATTTCCCAGCGCTGCCTCCTCCGCCTTGTGTTGCTCTCAAACCATGATCTTCTATGCCTTGAAAGCCTGAAATTTACTTTTTGATTTTGTAGTGGAAATGAATGTTTAAATGTCAGGAACACCTCTGGACTGAAAATCATAGATTCTGTCTCTCTGTGGCACAGAAGTTGACTACGAACATAAACGGGCCATGTGCCAGTTTCTGCACTGACGCACATGCCAATAAATTATATGGCTGGATCATGCTTTTGCAGATGATTTTGCATTTAGTTATAGTCCCAGAAGTTCATGTTCATTGTCTGAGGGTTTTGGAACATAAAGAGAGGACTATAATAGAGGGTTTGATCCTGCCAAATTTTAAAGTATGCTTTCTCCCTTTCAAAGGTGCTGCCTTTCCACCAGCTTAACATTTTTTTGGTGCTTGTTCTCTGATGACAGGCAGTCTTACTGCCTCTGAATACTTGTCACTGCCATGCAAAGCCATTTGCCATGCAGCTACATCTCCCCTCTGCCTTTTCTCTTACCTCGCAGGGAAGCACAATGGGAGACACTTGGAGACAGTACAAAATTGCAGTTGAGGCATTTGTTTCTTATTATATTTGCCCTTCCCAGGAACACAAGTGGCAGCTTGCCATGAATTAGGTCTGCTCAATAATTCAGTCCCCGAGTAATCAGAAGACAGCAGTCAGAGCTGTGATGGATAACAACATGTCAGTGCTGGGTCTCCCCAGCCTATCACCAGCCCCTGTGACCATCAGTCACGATATTCTACTTACCTGCATACCTCCACTGACAAACTTGCATTAAACTCATGGTTCATTTCCTGTCAGCAGATCCTCCATGACCTGGGTTCTGCAGAGATGTGCCAATTGGTTCTTCTTAGGCAAGAGCTGACCTAAGGCAAGGTAGGAGTGTTGGGTCAAACTTTCTCAGTTGTAGAAAACTGCAATGACTTCCTTGTAAGCTGAGAAACTTGGCCAAAATTTAACAAAGCTCTGTTGTTTTGATAATAGATAAAGATGTTGTATACTCTGAAAATATCACTGTGTTTGTAACAGTCAGATTTGGTCTCCAGCGGTCTTCAAAATCCATATCATCTCAGTCACAGCACTTCCTAAGTCAGGATTCCCACTGTGGGAAAAGAGATTTGTCAGATCATGAAACTACAAGCAACTGGCTTAAGAATTATACAAGCTTTTGTTATCTTAAACCTCCTGCTTTTGTTGTGCATGCTTTCTCATTGTATTTCTTTAGGAAGAGAGAATACAACCTACAAAGTTAATGAGAGAAGATGCACAGTCAGTTATATCCTCAAACTCTTTTAAAATGAGCATGGTGGTGGTGGGATGACTTTGAGTGCAAGGGCATCAGGCTATGGTTGGTGCCTGGAAGTTCAATACCCAGCTCCCATCAGTGGTGCTTTCTTCCTAGGATCAGCAAGATCCCTGTGACTTTGCTTGCTAACAACTTGTGTGCTACAGTGGATACTTTCTGACTCGCAAGCCTGGTATAGCTCATACTTGAATGTCCTGAAGAGATTATTTTGGATTGTCTGTCCAAAACTACCACGGGGAAACTGCTGGATGAAGGTAAGTTTTAGACATTTCCAAAAACAAAGGATGACAATGTTAAACCACTCTGAGTCACATAGACCTGTTTCAGGAACCTATATTGACATTGTTTGTGGTAATTTCTTCAGTGCATGCTTTTATTTTAATTTTTCATAGGCTTTATGGAATGGGAGTTTAACAAGACTCATGCATTTGGCTCTTAGTTGGACTAGCTGGAAACATGAATTCTACCTTGCAAAACATTTTGCGGTGTTAACAGTTATTTTAGTCACACTGATGATCAAAAGGCTTTTGAAAGTTTCCAGAAAAAATTCAGGGAAAAGAGAAAAAGTGTTTATTAAGGCATTTACTCACCTGGCAAGGGGGAATAAAACTCAAGTGAGGCTCAGTCTTGTGCATTATCAGTCTCATTATCAGCCTCTTTCTCCATCTCATAAGAAATATAAGTCTGAATTCCAAGATGTTACTAAAAAAATTTAGTAAAACTACTGTTATATTTCCTAGAATAGTTTTGGTTTCAGTGAAACAGCATGCAGCTTTTAATAAGATTGTCAGGAAAAAAGGAGGTGCCTTGGTGAGGCTGCATGATGGTTCACAAAATCCTGGAGATTTGATGGTTGTCCATTGATCCATCGCTTTTATAAATGTGCTAAAAAGATGGTAACTTGACTCAAACTCATCAATCCCATTCATGTTTACACCCACTCCCTGGTGCCGGAGTTTTACCTAGCATTTAGCTGAAATTTTTCAGGAATGCAATTATTCAACAGCTTCCTTACTCTAGACTGGCCATCTCCTTATATTCTTGTCCTTTTATTTTTCTTCTAAAATATTCTGACTGCAACACCTTTTTCCTAATATTTCATTGAATGAAACAATGTGACTAAGTAGAGTGATAAGAGAGCCCAAGAATTACACCTTTCTTCTGACCAGCCCTGAGCATATCCTCCTACTGTAATTTCCTCTTTGTCTTGGGAAATTCCCCTTTGGGGGGAATGCTGGGTGTAGACATTTTCAGAAAATGCTGTCAGCACAACTCCTGCAGAGCTGCAGGAGGAAGGGAGGGGACCGGGGGAGTGTGGTAGGGGCCCAAGCATTTTTGGTAAAAGAGTCAAAGCATAGAGTTGCAGTATCAGCAGTGAGGTGATTGTCAACTACAGGAAAAATGTTTCCATTTCCTACCACAGGTCACAACACTTAATAGAATCATCAATACAAACACTACTAAAGACCAAATCAGCCCAATATGCAACGCTAGTCTGGGGTCATCTACAACAAATCCCACTTGCCTGGACCAGCAGAAAGGCCCAGAACTCAATGAGTAAGATTCCTGAACAGAGCAGAAGAGGAGAACTTCCCTATTGAGCGGAAAGGATGCAGGGACAAAAATGCTGAGGTGCAGGCTGAGAGCAGTGCTGTGGGGGATGGCTCTCTCAACACACACCAGTATGAGGAGGTGCAGCAAAGCCTGCTCGTGAAGACTGACTGTGTTAGCTGCCACACAGCTGCCTCATGTAAGATTCAGCTCAGAGCTGGAGTACCTGCACTGAAGGGTTTGCACAGAGATGTCAACACCTGAGCTCAAAGGGTGACTCAGTTGCCTCCACGGAGACTTCTCATGTTGCTTGAGATGCTACAGGAAATCTGAGACACCTACAAGGAGGTGGCAGATGCAACACAGGACCTCCCAGTACAGCACATCGAGACCTGAAATAACATCCTGAAGCATCCAGTTTGGCACTCAGAAACTGGATCATGTCCAAGGTTATTTAACTTCCCAGTACAGTCAAGGGATTCTAGGAAATAATTTGGTTTGCCAAGAATTAAACTAATGTCATGGCCAGGTTGACTGTACTGATAAGATTTCCATTACGGGCACCATAGCATCCAGCTGATATGAAGACGACTAAATGTAGATATTCCAGTCTTCTAGTCCTCAATCAAGAAAAGAAAAATAAAAAATCTGTTCATGTCAAAAGCACACTGCCACCTCAAGCTAAGCTCTTGCTAGTAGCCTGCTCCACAGCAGCAAGGCCAAAAATGTCCTGATGTTTATTACTGTTGCTGTTGACTCCATTGTGCCTCAACAGGCAGGTTGCTACCAGGGTATTTAAAAGTCAAATCAAAGGATAATCAAGGGAAATTAACTCTCTGCAAACAATAGACCTGGGCTGGTCTTCTTGAATGTGCTGAACTACTCTTTTTTCAGTATGGCCCAAGCACTGCATGAGGAGTTGGATAAAATATTAATTTTGAATGGCTGTAGACCTCCTCCAGCAGGACCAGGTTCCAGTGAGCCATCTGAGTGTGGCACAAAGGGGCTCAGTGATGCTCCTAATCCACTCCTTGTGCTGATTGAAGAAAGCACCTGATGGTCTGGAACCCTATCCATGCCTTGTTGGCCAAAGCATGTCTCACTCCACATGTGTTTTGCGCACATCAATGCTATCACTAAGATATTTTCTGAAGGACTACTCCCTCCTCTTAGCCTAGGGCTTCTGAACATGATAACTTCTTTCCACCTTAGAAACTAGATTCTATCCTACTGATACCCTAATTTTCGCTAAGCTACTTCTCACCTTTTCTCCTCTACATGCTTGCCCAGGAGCTGCAGTCTGAACCAGCACAGTGTTTTTTAAACAAGTCTCTGTTTTGGAAGAAGAAGAGAGGATGGAGTACAAGTTGTTCCAGGAAGCATAGGCTTGATTTGAGTCTGCAATGGCAAAATACTAGTTCCCTGTGAAGTAATAAAAGGGTATTTTAAAGAAACTCCTCTTGGCAGGGCTGTAAGCTGATTTATGAAGGCAGGTGTCAAGTGACTGTGAAACTGCTGGAGCCATGGCAAAGCATATTTTATTGTTGCTTTTGTGTTTTTGTATCATTTCTAAAAATCCCCAAACCAGTCTAAGCAGAAGTACTGTGCTAATAGGGTGTTTAAATGGATTTGAGGGAGTTCAGGATTTCTGTGTAATTCCAAGGCGTGACAAGCCAGAAAACTTGCCAGTTTTATATAGTGACTCTGAAAGCCAGTATAAAGTTCAGCAAACAGTGAATGTGCTCAGCAACGGAGATGAAAAATCCATTGTTAAGCAGTTGCTGCACCTGCTGCAGTGACATGTTTTCCTTATAATGTTCTTATGTTGGCTGGGCCCATGACTTATGCACATGAAGAGGGGTCATGGTACCTCTTTCTAAATGTTTGCATGGGATGATGGAGGTTTCTGTGATTCAGGCAGTGAAAACTGACTGTATTACATTTCCAAATGATGTCTGAGCCCCTTTTGCCAAGGTGAAAACAATTCTGCAAAGAGTAGGGCAACACAGCAACCATTCTTAATGTCAGCAATGCCACTTTGTTTATTTATCCTAAATGGAGGTTCTTTACAACATTTTATGCTACTATAACACACATACTTTCCTATAGGTGCTCTGCATGTGTTGGGCATAAATCTGATGCTCTCACCACAGATTCTGCATTCCATGGGCATGTTGTTTACAGCCACACATGTGCCCTTCTCTGGCCAGGACAGATGTGGGAGCCAGCTGCAGACAAGTAAAGCTGCTGTTAGTGCACACTGGGGCTGTTCCCTGTGAGGCTGTGCCATGCCAAGGGGGGCATCCAGTCCTGTGCTGGCAGGCAGAGATGCCCTGGCTGGGCTTGTATGTAACCTTGGGTAAAAGGAATCTGGTCACATGTGCTATCCTTCCTTTACAGATCCCTCCCCTGAGCCAGCATGAGAAAAATCACATCTAAGGTGTATTTTGAGAGTGGGGAGCTTTGTAAGGGGGGAGCTTTGTAAGAGGGGAGCTGTGTAAGCAGCTGACAGTCACCTGTCAGTCACCTGCCTTTGTTCTGCTCACATGGAGTGCAGAGGGGTCTGCCAGGAACACTGCCCAGTCCAGGGTAGTTCAGCCTGCCTGCTAGCTGAGGGGGAATGAAGGCAGGGGATGTGGGGTGAGGTGAGCTGGCTTGCTGCAGGAGGACATTTCTTGCTGCCATCCTGATGAACAATTACAGGCTCTACCCATCACCACACTGGGAGGTAAAACTGGCAACTTGTGACTTTGCAGGAGTATTTCTTAAAGAAGACTGTTGTTCCTGCCTTAGCAAAACTCATCCTATCATTCCACTGGTCTTTCCAAAAAAACATGTGTAAGACAAGGCTGTCAGCTATATAAACTGCTGGACTACTTGCAAAATAAAAAAGCTCTACTTTTTCCTCAGCTCAAGCATAAGCTTTTCCTGCAACCTCTCCCTGCCCTACAAACCATCAGACACTCTGCCTTTTTTCATGAGGTCTACAGCCTGCTTTTTAGAGCTACAAGATCAGCATCATTGGCATGAATATTCAGAAATAAACTAGGCAGGTGTTTGGGTTATGACAATCTCAGCTGCAAAATTTCTGGCCTGTGGCAGTGGAATGATCTCAATCCTCAAATCCTCACTATATTCTGATTGCAGCTTTAAATGTGCTCTTTTTTCTTTATGCAATGGAGTCTTTTTCAAAGGAATGACTCCATAATAAATAATAAATATATAAATTTAAATATTGCGTGCAT